CCACTGAAATTGTCAACAGTTGTAAGGTACGCGGTTGAAAAGCGATTTGGAGTAAAAAAATAATCGCAGAAGTGAGTCTGCACCTCCATCCGCGTGCGAGGTTGAACACACAAAACACACACACACACACCCGCGCGCGCGCACCAGAGGTGTAAAATCGACCGTGCAACCTCCACCATGGAAACTGCTAATGCCGACGGTATTGTAAACTTCAAGCCTCGTAACTCGAAAAATGCTTAATGAAAAAATACTTTGTCATAGTGCTTTGAAAAGCTCTTGAAGTAAGCTACAAAAATGTGCAATAAGAAATGGAGGTTTCCATTTAAGAAATTGAAGGTGACCTGCACGTGATCTTCAAACGACTATTCAAGGACAAACCAATGGCATCATCTTATGTTCCCCTTGGAGTTATTAAACTTTTGTACAAAACATTTTTTTTTAAATCCTGTGATATGATCCTTCAGATATTTGACTTAAAATAAAATGAAACATCCTATATATATACAAAATTAGACCGACAAATTTCAGGTAGTTATAAACGATACTAAAACAAGCCAATTTTTTTAATAAACCCGCGTCCGCAAATGTATCGTTTTGGCACAAGAGAATCAGAGACTAATTGTAAGACATTGCTGACTGATTATTACAGCATCTGAGTATTACACTGAGTATTAGTATTACAACATTCAGTATTTATTCAGCGTCACATTCAGTATTCATTATTGTTTAGTTGAAATTTGTTTTCAAAAATAGACAAGTTTTCTTATGAAGAACTGGCCGATATGCATCTGATTTATAGAGAACTTAGATGTAATAGAAGAGAAGCTGTATGCTATGAAGAAAGATATCCTCATCGTCGTCATACTCATTATATCACTTTTGCGTCCGTTCATCGTCGTCTTCAAGAAGTTGGTAACCTGATGCGCGCTGATGGTACCGATCATCCAAAAGAAACACGCACAGCAGCATATGAAGAAGAAGTTCTGAACCATGTAGAGTAAAAACCTTTCACAAGTGTTTGCGCAATTGCACACCACATAGAGGCTGCTAAGTCGACGGTATGGCATGTTTTCCAACAAATTTATTCCTACTATAACCAGAGAGTGCAAGTGATGAATCTTTAAACTATCATCCTCGAATCGTTTTCTCCGTGAATCGTTGGTTTTTGGGTTGCCACTTGGTCCAGCCTGATTTCGGCAGAAACGTGCTGTTCACGGATGAGGCATGTTTCACTCGGGATGGTTTTTTCAATAGTCACAACAGCCACATTTGGGCTGATGAAAATCCTCATACTACCGCTTTTAGAAGAGATCAATATCAGTTTGCCGTCAACATTTGGGCATTCCGGTATTGTCGGCGATAATTTGATTGGTCTGTACCTACTGCCACTTCATTTAAATGCATATATTGATCTCCAGTTCCTACAATATATTCTACCAGATCTTTTAGAAGATGTCTCTTTGAACATACGACGAGACGTGTAGTTTCAAAATGACGAGGCACCTCCACACTTCAGTTTGTAACGTGTGCGAGTATCTGGATCAGAATTTTTTGAACTGCTGGATTGGAAGAGGAGGTCCTGTAGCTTAGTCTGCGCGATCTCTCGATCTTACCCCTGACTTTTTCCTTTCGGTTATGTAAAATCTCTGGTGTACGAGATACTCCTGTACTTGGAAAAGAAGATCTGGCGAGAGTGATGGTCGCTTGCACATGTGCAAGCTGTTCCGGGAATATTTTATAGGGTCCGTGAATCTATGAATCGACGCTGCAATCTTTGTATGGAAGTAAATAACTGCCATTTCGAACAATTGTTGTAAAAATATACTTAATATACTTCACTCCAAAAACCATTTTAGTATCAAAGCGGTTCATTTGCGGACACGGATTTATTGACAAAATTGGCTTATTTTATAGTGTCTTTTATAATCACCTAAAGTTTGTCTAATATATACACGGCGTTTCATTTTAATTGCCCACCTCAAATATTTTGTAAATGATGCATTTTCGTGGAAAATGTTTCAGATAAAATTTGTTTGTCCTTAGGGAGGGTTCTTAGGGAGCCATAAAAACTACTATATACGGAAATTTACCAACGCGTCTATTCTGTCGTCTATCAGCGGCATCGGATATTTATCGCGGATTATTTTCTTATTCAACGATCTATAATCTATACAAACGCGACTGGACCCGTCTTTTTTACGCACAATAACCACCGGACTGGCGTACTCACTTCGACTGGGCTTAATTACGCCGGTTTCTAACCACTCGTTTATCTGACTGTCCAAAATGTCCTTTTCCTTTGGAGCTAGTCTTCGGAAACGGAGATAAACTGGTATCTGGTCTTTCAAAATGATCTTAGTCTCCACTGTAGTGTCAACGTTGATCTTCGGGCGATGCGCTGCTATCATCCCTTCGATTTTGCTTCTGTAAGGTTCTGCGACTTCTATCTCTTCAACAGTAACACAGTTTATGGCGGCTAACTCTTTGAATCCTGTCTGATCAATGAACTGATCATATGCGTCGACAGTAACTTCTTCACTGACGGAGGTATCGGTTTCCTTGATTAGTGGCCGTTTGATTTCAATTCTTCCTTTCCGTATAGTGACCTCGGTATCCATCAGGAAATCTCGTCCGAGAATTAACTCAGTAGACATCGATCGTGTCGGGACTACGTATACTTCAATTTCATAAGTATCCTCTTGAATGGAAAACTTCAGACAAAAAGTGCCGTTGGGCCTCGTGGATACATTCCCTAGACCCGTAAAAAGTCGTGTCGTATTGCTTAATTCGGGTTTGCCGATTTTCTCGTACATGTCGTTCTGCACTAGACTTACGTCACTGCTTGTATCGATTAAGGCACGGTATTCCGATCCAGCAACGTTTATCGGAACAAACTTATCGTCCGCACTAACACAATTCACCGTAGACACCGACGTTTCCTGCTGCTGTGTTGTCTTAGAACACTTAGAAGCGATATGTCCATATTCATTACATCTGAAGCACTTCGGTCCTTTGTCGGCATTCGTACAGCTCTTAGCATCGTGTTCGGTGGAACCACAATTGAAACAATGCTTCTTGTCCGCCTGTTTAACGCCTGATTTAGGTCGGCCCTTCGTTGCATCCTTTGCGCCGTCTTTCGTGCCATCTTTCTTAATAGTTGCTTTTCGTCATTGTCCCTTTTCTTTTATACGATCGTAAACCTCGAAGCATTTCTTTAGTTCGCGTAGCGTTCTAGCACTATACAGTATTGTCTTATTACCTTCATCGTCTCGTATGCCATCGATTATATATTGGATGAGAGCGTCTTCTTCGATATAACCTGGATCGACGATCTCTTGCATAGCGTAAATGTACTGCCTACTGCTTTCGGTCGGTTGTCGTCTTCGCTTGTATAATTGACTATGTATTATCGCACTGTTTAACTCGACTTTGAATTCTTTCTTCAGGCAATGTCTGAGAATATTCCAAGATATGATCCTTCTTTCGAATGATATAAAACGTCTTGCTGATCCCCTTAACATGCGTTTGCCATACACTAATTTTTGCAGATCGTTCCACTTAAGTAAAGCGCTCATGTCTTCAAACTCTGAAATCCAACTTTCGATCGATAATTTATCATCGCCTGTAAAATATGACAAACTGCCCTCTACGTCCTTGATTGTGAAGTTGTTTCCTAGCGACCCTTGCTCGTCATCGGTATCACGCCTGTTAATTCGCCTTAATTCGTCCTGTCTTCGTCCAATGGGCATATCGTCATCTGAGAGTGCGTCGTCGTCGTATCGACGCGTCTGTTGCGTCATCCTTTCGCATTTCATTCGCGGATGTCGTTTCTTTGTGGCATCTGATTGGGCGCGGTGATCTCGTCGCGTCTTATTGGCTGACGCCTGCTTGCCTATATCTTGATTCGTTCACTCGTCTGACTTGCTTTTGTTACTTCCGTCACTTGCCGCGTCTTCGTCACTCGGTATATCTTCATCACTTGTCGCGTCATTATCACTTATGTTTTCGTCATTCACTATGTCTCTATAGCTCGCCGCATCTTCGTCGTTCACCTGTCTCGTTGCTTTATTCACTTGACCACCGTGTGTGCGAACGTTTTGCAATCTCATCTTTAATTGGGATTTATTGCCGGTAGTCGACAGACCCAGTTTCCGTAACTCATCTTTGAGGTCGATTATCTTTATTTCGTCGATATCCAAAGCGATCCCTTCGTTTTTTCGCATCCGTCTCGATTTCCGTCGCACTGTTAATTCGGTCGGGCCATCTTCCAGCCCTACGTCATCTTTATCGTTATGCTGCGACACGTATTCGGACATCTTCACCTTTGCAACTGTTCAACTTTTAATCCGCTATCGACAACTAAACTGTAACACTCACAATCTCGCGATTTCCACAACTGTCCAAATGTTCAACTTAACTACTTTGCTTCACGGATTCGGAAATAGCAAGGTTATGTACACGTGTCGATCCGGCTTACTTCATATAATTAGCAGATAACTGTTTCGCCGATTCCGGACGAGCCCCCAAAAAGTTCTGCAGGATCATTGACGGAAACGTTATCACTTTATATATATAGAAAGCGCGTTCCTTTACCGTGAGATCTTACTATCGCACTGCTAAGACTAAAACTAACTAACTAATCGTTATTCTAATCGCCGCTAGGCGCGGGCGCGCAGCGGGCGCACGGCAACCGAATTTCCGATTCCTACATATATATATATATATACATACATATAACAACGCGTGACGAGAGCAGCAGTAATACGCGTTGTTATTTTTCGTTGCCGTGTGATCCTCGTTGCTGTCACGTCTAGAGTGTACAGCCCACGGTCTAACTGCGCGCAACGCACGATTATTCGTTAATCCTTTTAGATTAATATTTCAATTATTATTGCGAAAATTGCAAAATGGTAAAGGACTTTTCTATTCAGTTTACCGCACTCTATTCGCACACGAGCATTGGCACGGACATTATGAAACACCCTATATATGTGTAACAGAACATGAGCGGATATGATATGCATCGTGGCGATGCTCCGGCTTACGGTTTTACCGACAAGTACGTGACAGATCTTTTCAGCGATGAAGCAATTAGGATTATTGAACATCACGAGCCATCCCGGCCGCTCTATCTACAAATATCGCATCTCGCTGTTCACGCGCCTCTCGAGAGCCCGCATGATTCTTACGATCTCTACGATAAACAATTTACACACATTCGAGAAATTAATCGCCGCAAGTATGCTAGTATGTAATATAATTTTATGGCAAATTCAAGATAAATTAGTTATATTTGATTGATAACCTTACAAATAGGTATTAAATAATTAAAGCAAATATCTACATTGGATATTAATTTAATCTAATTAATATAGTTCGAGTACAAAGGCCAGTGAAACTTTATATACACAATATTTCTTTAAGTACAGTTTACTCCTTAAGATTTTAATTTGTTAGGAATGGTATCGCGATTAGATGCGTCTGTCGGACGTATCGTTCACGCCTTAGGCAACAAAGGGATGTTAAGGAATTCTCTAATCTTATTTCTCACCGATAACGGTGCAGCGCCCATTGGCAAATTTCGTAATTATGGTTCTAATTACCCCTTACGAGGTGTGAGTATTTTAAATCATATACCTGTCAAGTCGAATAAATTTGTGCATATTTACTACGCAATAACATTTATTATGATTGAATTTTGACAAATAAAATAAAAAAACATGCCAGCTAAATTATATGATTATATGCCAGTGAAGGAATATGTATATCATATTAATTAAGTTCTCCATGTCACGCTTTTTTTAACTTTCTATTCATATTATGGAATTGCTTATAAGACATAAGTTACAGAAAATTATTAAAATAAAAAAATTATTAAAATAAAAGAAAAATTTACATTATATAACAAAAAGACATGAAATATTTTATTTTAAATGGTATGAAAACACAGTTCAACATGGGTCACCGGTGACTTATGCTGTACACGGAACGTGTTAAAAATATAAGCTGCGTTTTATTTAACTTATTTAAGAGAAAATTTCTCAAAATTACGCACAAACTTGTAGATTTTTAATATTTTAAACGACATAATATATACGTTTTTTATTTATTATGGCAGATGAAATACACGTTATATGAAGGAGGTGTGAGAGGAATTGCTGTAATATGGTCACCAAGATTAATTAAACCAGCGCGCGTTTGCGATGATCTGATGCACATAACCGACTGGTTGCCGACTCTCTATTCCGCCGCTGGTGGTGATCTAAGGGATTTAGGCGAGATTGACGGAGTTGATCAGTGGCGAATGTTAAACTATGGTGACGTGAAAGTCAGAGAGAAGCTATTGCTAAATATCGATGAGATCTCCAGGACCGAGGGCGCTATATATAAACAATTCAAACTTATTCGTGGTATTTTTTCATTATAGTTAAAGATGTTAGACAAAACAATAATATATAAATATATATGTATTTATATATATCATATATATATTTATGCATGAAAATGCATAAAAAATAAGATTTTTATACAAATAAATTATCGTGGTATAAACTAAAAAGTTCTAATTTGCATAAAAAAACATAGACAACATGTCTGTCTTAAAGACACCTAAAAGACATCTAATTGTAAGATGTTTGAAAATGACATCTTTTAGACATCCTTCAGATATCTTTAAAATATGCATGATGTCTGGGAATTTACACTATAAACATTTGAAAAGTTCGAAAATGTCACATTTACCAAGTTATAGTTTTTAAGATTTATAAAACTTTGATTTTTAAAAGAGGAAAGATATGATACAATCTCGTTTATTTATTGAAAACAATTCTGCGTCTATTCGTATTCACAAAAAATCATGTCTGTATCTTAGGATCAATTGAGGGAGGTTATTACGACGGACATTATCGCCATTACGAGAGAAACCCATTCGTCTTAATGCCCAATAATTCCAAGAAAAATATAGAAGACGATGTACCATCTTATACTGACACGATCCGAAAAAGTTCGGTGTCGGAGAATATCGCTAATTACCTAGGCGGTCCGGTCACTCAACCCAGCACAATGATTCAATTACGGCAAGAGGCTACAGTCCATTGCCAGTCTAATATTGATTATTATAATAGGAACAACTTTATCACCTGCAACGTCACCGAGTGTCTATTCGATCTCGAGAATGATCCCTGTGAAACAAGGAACATCGCTGAGCAATATCCAAGGGTGAGAAAGCCTATTGTTGATATTGAATCAACTGCACGAATTAAAACTAGGACAAACTGTTTCAGACATTTAAATACGTCGTATGTTTAAACTGTTTCAAGTACGAAGTAAAAACATTTCTGCTTTGAATAATTCGGATATTGAAGAAAGTTTGAGGAAAAATAATATGCATTGCATATGTTAACATCACATTGCTAATATTTGGAAGGTCTCGTTTGCCTACAAATTAATTGCTAACAATATCGTTTGCCGACATTTCGTTTGCGCACAAAATTTATTGCCTAGAGAGAATGCCTACAAGCACTATTGAGCACAAATAAAAAATTAATAGACGAACGCACGTTTGCACACATGACACTATTGCGCACACAAGTCGCATTGCATACTCGTTTCATATACGTTTCTTAAATGTACCTAATGTTTTTAACCGTCAAGCATCAATAAGAGACGTTTTTGGAACCATTCGATAGGAACCATAATTTAAGAAACGTTTTTTTCACGTTTTTAAAAAACAGAAAAATTTTTTAAAATTTTATTTGTGTCTCAATTTTTTAAATTTACTTTTCTTCAGCATAATATTGTTCAAATGTTTTTTAAGAATTTAATATAATAAAAGTTACATAATTATTAAAAGAGTTTAATTAATAAAAATAATTTAGCATAAGAATTTTTTTTTTAAAGACTATATTTTACTATATTTGTGATATTGATATTTATTATATTTGTGATGAATTAAATACTATATTTGTGATATTTTATTGTAACATCTTATTGTAACATTGCAGAAAATATATTAAATATATAAATATATTATGTAATATATAATGTAATATTTCATGAATATATATTTTTTTTCACGAATAAAAGAAAAAAAAGTTTTTTTCTTTATCCGCAAAAAAATTTGCTTTTTCTTACGGAATTAATAAAATAATGCATTTATATACATACACACATATACATATATATATATATATATATATATATGTGTACCAAGGCAACTAAAAAATGTCTAAAAAATTTTAGACATCTTTTAGTTGCCTTAAAAAATTTGCGCGCGCGCGCACACACACACATACACACACACACGCGCGCGCGCGCGCACACATGTATTATTTTATTAATTCCGTGAGAAAAAACACATTTTGGTAAATATGCATTTTAGGTTACACAGCACGATTTTGTTGCAATGTTTAGATATGTTGAAGGGGAAGTTGTGAGTAATTCCCCGCAAAAATTAAGTGGCGGATGGCATTGATTTAGGGGATATAATGAAGGTTTCACAATTTTAATGCTCTACTTTAGGTGTTATAGGTGATATTACGAGTAGTAAAGTTTGTGTACGTCGTATTAATCTGTTGAAGGATGTAAACAAAGCTACATGATCATAGATATTTCATCAATAGTCGGCTTTAGTCGGCTTATTTCGTAGTTCATTATTTTTCCTTATTTCTCATTTTGGTGAAAAATATTTACGGAATACGTGGATGGGGAAAAGACTCCGCCCACGTGTGAATGTAAACAGACTTTTTAAATCAAATAATAACAGATTATTACGGCGTACACAAACTTTATTTTGTGCAATACGGCTTGTGCGCAATAGTGTCGTGTGTGCAAACGTGCGTTTGTCTCTTAATTTTTTATTTGTGCTCAATAATGCTTGTAGGCATTCGATCTGTAGGCAATAAATTTTGTACGCAAACAAAATGTCGGTAAACGATACTGTTGGCAATTAATTTGTAGGCAAATGGAACCCTCCCTTAATATTAACGTCGCGCAATTAAACTCTATTTTTAAAATGTTTAAAAAAGTGTCAAATATTATGACATTATTTTAATAGGTTTTTTAATAAAAATTAAGCAAAGTGTACTAGATTTGATATCATAAGTAATTTCGGACTTTTTAATCTGTTTACTTTTTTGTCGGGCAAAGTTTTCGATTAATACGTAAATATATGTGGGGAAGTATTAAGTTCCGTCATCTGTCATTTCATCATGTATCACGATTTTTCACATTAAAGCACGTAAAGATGTGCTGCGTAAACAATACGAAATATTTAATGGAAATTATATTATTATTTGTTACACAATCCAATATGTGCAAGAAAGTATTTAAAACACGTTTGTCCACAATAACATTGAGTAAATACCTATAAATAACATAACATAATTTCGCAATGAACACAAACGAGTTAAGTATGTATAAACTAAAAATATACGAGGTTTACTAGAATCATAATTCAAACTTTTATCGCTTAACAATTAAACCCTGAAGCTATTACAAAGTGTCAGATAACGTATAATTATTTTTCTTTTCACAGATCGCTCGAGAGCTGGATCAATTTCTAGAGCAGTACGGCCGCAATGTTACGAGACAGATAAAGGTACCGGTAGATTGGCAAGCAGATCCGAGGAGAACAAACGATACGTGGGGGCCATGGATACCATCAGGTGGAGCAACATTGCACAACTCGGTGGCACACCTAGCCAGTTTAGCATATTGTGTTCATATCGGGATTATTTTTATAACAGTCATGTGCAATGCATTTATTTAAGCACTTACGCAAATATCGCATTATCAGTATAAAACAATCGTAAAAAATATCATATATATGTATATACTATACAGGGTGTCCCGCGTAACTTGTCCCACCGGGAACTGGGAGGTAGATGGGATTGAAATAAATATAAAAGTCCTTTACCGTTTTACGATATTCGCAATAATAAACGAGATATTAATTTTTACATTTGGACTAATGAGAGCGCGTTGAGAGAAGCGCTCCAGCCGCTCGAGGTCTAGCCTGGCTCGGCGCGGTGCGGCGAGACGTGAGTCGGGCGCCGAGCCACGGCGCGTTTCCCTTCTTGCCTCTCAAACGCGCCTCCAGCAGCCAATGTATGATAGACTAGGCCGGGCTAGACCTCGAGCGGCTTGAGCGCTTCTCTCGACACGCTCTCATTAGTCCAAATGTAAAAATTAATATCTCGTTTATTATTGCGAATATCGTAAAACGGTAAAGGACTTTTATATTTATTTCAATCCCATCTACCTCCCAGTTCCCGGTGGGACAAGTTACGCGGAACACCCTGTATATGTATATATATACAGGGTGTTTCATAATGTCCGTGCCAACGCTCGTGTGCGAATAGAGTGCGGAAAACTGAATAGAAAAGTCCTTTACCGTTTTGCAATTTTCGCAATAGTAATTGAGATATTAATTAAAAGGAATTGACGAATAATCGCGCGTTGCGCGTAGCTAGATCGTGGGCTGTACACTCTAAACGTGACAACAACGAGGATGGCAACGAAAAATAACATGTAGCGAGAGCAGGAGTGATATGCGTTGTTATTTTTCGTTGCCATGCGATTCTCATTGCTGTCACGCCTAGAGCATACAGCCTACGATCTAGCCGCGATCAACGCGCAATTATTCGTCAATCCCTTTTAATTAATATCTCAATTACTATTGCGAAAATTGCAAAACGGTAAAGGACTTTTCTATTCAGTTTACCGCACTCTATTCGCACACGAGCATTGGCACGGACATTATAAAACCCCCTGTATATATAATTTTTCATTAGTTTTGTCGCTATTGTTATAAACAAATTACAAATGTAAAATAAAGATGATTTTATGCCAACAAAAAATTTTCTTCATAAGAAAAATGTGTAGTAAATAATTTTTATTTATAATTTAATTTATTGCAATAACTCTAACTTAAAAATTAATTATTTTTTTCTTCAAAAATAAGTTTTCTAAATTATGAGTCTTGTGCTGATAATGCAAAAAGTTGATAAACGCACCAAAATTGATCAATTTAAACTTGTTATTTTGTATAGGACCGATTTATCAGAAGTATTTTTATATTTTGCTATCTTTGCTTTTTCTTCACGTTTAAATAAAAAGCACGCAGTTTTGGTTAAATTTGCAATGTTACAGTATAATCATGCAGTGAGTTTGTTTTGCAACGGATAAATTATAACGTACATAGATATGAATTTAAACTGTGGTCTAACTTTGCTCCGGCAAATTAGCATTTGTATAGTCAGTTTTCCTCATTACTGCATATTCTCGCGTAGAAATATGCGACTTTCGTCGTTTCTTCATGTTATTTGCGTGTCATTCATGTTTCAAAAATTATTACATTTATAAATAAAACATGACAAACGTTAATCATTTATTTTATCACAACTTATTTGAAAATAAATGCATTTTATCGTGGGTAAACACAGAAAAATTTTATCTCACAGATAAGTTACTTTATATAAAGTATTTTTTATGACATCTTTTTAAACAACATCACGTCTCTTTCATTCAACTTCCTACGTAATTATATTACCACAATTATTACAATAAATGATCTCTTACAGAAAATAAGTATGGACCCTGGTGAAAAATATTCTCAGAGTTTTTCATAAAAATTTTCAGATTTTTTACAAAAATTTTATAACTTTTTCAGAAAATTTTAAGATTTTTTATATGAATGGCACACTTTTCAGAAAAGTTCAGAAAAGAAATGAAAATATATGAAAATATATGAATAAATTCATTATTTCTCATATTTTCTAGATCTGTATATATTAAAGCCCGTGTCCACGATGCAAGAAATTGGTTCGAGTTCTTGGCCCAAAATGGTTGGATTGCTTCAAGAAATGTGTAACCAATCAACTTGCTGTTTTTCCATAAGAACTTTAATTTAATTAGCTATATATTTCTCGGACCAAGAACTTGGACCAATTTCTTGCATCGTGGACACAGGCCTTTAGAAATATCAAATATTTTTACAAGTTGAAAAATATACGATTTATCAGCTTTTATTTTTCTACCTTATCTTTGAATGCATTTCATTTAGCAATGTAAAAACGTGTCATTCTATATTTATTTTCTAGTAGATATCGAACATAGAATGTCACGTTAACATACATGTTAATACATGTTTATTCTGTGTTTGACATCCAATAAAAAAAGATAGAATAGAAATATATACTTGCGTTAATTTGTACCGTTAAATGAAATGTAAGTACACTTAAAGGCAGGGCAAAATATGGAAGCTGATAAATCGTAATTTTTTTTTAGAAATATTCCGTTAAATAGAATACAGAAAAATGTACCTTATTACAACACATACTCGCATACATATACATTTAAAAATTCTATAAAAAACATATAATAATTACAAATATTGAATTTATTACATTTCATACATAATAAATATAAAAACCGCTTATGAAATTTAAAAAATATGAATAAATAAAAAATTTTTTCTCAGAATTTTTCATAAAATAAAATTATAAAAAATTCTTAAAATTTTCTAGGAAATTATGAGATGTTTTTTCACCAGGGGAGGCTCAATACTTAGTATTGAGATTGTAATACTTAGTATTTAGGTTGTAATACTGAGTATTAAGAGTCAGTATTGGTCAACACTAAAGTATTGAGAGAGTTAAGTATTGATGAATACTGAGTATTGACAGTCAGTATTGGTCAATACTAAAGTATTGAATGAGTTAAGTATTGATGAATACTGAGTATTGACAGTCAGTATTGGTGAATATTAAATATTAGAGACTAGATTCGTTAATACTTAAGTATTAAGGGAGGTTAAGTATTGAAGAATACTTATTATTGCAGTCTACTACACAGTGCGGTCCATAAATACCCGACTTATATTTTTACGACAATACTAATGACGCGATTTATCAGTCAATACTTGAATCATGTTGTGGTATCCCTTAGCAACCTTTGTGTGAAGTTTCAGTCTTTGTACGATCAATCGACGTGGAGAACGAGTGGTTTGTGTAAACAGTGTTTTAGGTTAGGTAGTGTATCACAAATTGTAAAATAGATATGTGTAAGGAATGACGTGTCGTGATAAAATTTTGTTTTAAAGCCGGTATTTCGGCGACTGAAACTTTGTCAATGCTGCAAAAGACTTATGGGGATGATCTTTAAACGTGCAGCGGTGTTTGAGTGATACGGTCGTTTTCACGATGGCAGAGAATCGGTAGAAGACGATGAACACTGTGGTCACCCAGTGTCGACTCGTACGGAATCGACCCATAAGTCTTTTGCAGCATTGATAAAGTTTCAGTCGCCAAAATACCGGTTTTAAAACAAAATTTTATCGCGACATGTTGTTCCTTACACACATCCATTTTGCAATTATTCGTTAATACTAGCACTACGTATTCGTCAATATTAGTACTAAGTATTCGTCATTACTAAGTATTCATCAATACTAAGCATTTCCCAAAAAAGTATTGGCCAATTTACTATTGACTAATACTAATTGTAAGTATTGAGAGCTCAATACTTATTTTCCGTAAGAGATGTCTTTATAAAACGGTAGTTAATTCAAACTAACTACAAAATGTTTAGGTTGTGATAGATACCTGTTGAAACAATAAAGTACTAATTAATTCTGCGATTATATCCCAGTAAACACAAAGTAACAGTAACATAACATTAATGTTACAATTTCCCACTCAACAACATAATTGTTACGTACAAGGCATGTTATATTGCAGTTACATTGTTGAGTGGAAAATTATAACATTAACGTTATCTTACTGTTAGCTTATGTTTACTGGGATATAAGTTTATTTTTTATTAAAAAAAAATAACAATAAATTAATTTGTGCGTTTTTAAAAAATTTTTATTTATATAAAGCAAAAAAAAGCAATAGAATATAAAAATATACTTTTTTAAATTAATACAATTAACTATAGTATATACTATATTATAATTATACAATAATTTATATAATTAATCGCATCGATAGTGTATGATAAATATAAAAATAATGTGTACGTTGAAATAAACTATTTAAATGCTTTTAATAATTTTTAAGATCTCAAATATTTGCATATATCAAGTACAAATTTATTTAAAATAACACAATGCAGCATAATACATTACATCTTGCAGAACAATGATGTAATATCTGTTAATAACAAATAAAAGATAATAACTGCAATTGTCAATTTTACAACCAATGCTGCATTTATCACCATAATTGGGGCATCAATGAGGGAGGGGGGGGGGGTGTGATCAAACGGTATCGCTGGTTAGCGTATAAATTCAACAATATGCGTCTCTCACTTCACAGTATAAAATTCAGTGCGAACTCGACCGGTTGTTGATCTTTGAAAGTAAATTATATTATTTAATCTGAGACTAATAGCATAAAATTCTGACATAAAAAATGTAAAAATTGCGAATATATTGTTGCAAATGATCAGATAACGTTCTTCATTATTTTTTTTGCTTTAACTTTTTGAAAAATGTTTATAACTGATAGGTTACAGTGATAAAGATAAGCAATCTAGCATCAAGAAATAAGTTACAATCGTGTGAATGCATGCAATCAATTTTGAGTTTTAATATTTAAAAATCGATAATACATTTTCAATATCTATCATCGATGATTTAAGTGATATTGTGTAAGTTTGATGGTTGTGTAGTTTCGGTGATCTCGCGATCTAACTGACAAAATATTGATAATTATGTATTGGAAAAGCTTGCTATTTATTCATGTACTGTTAATATTGAGTGCTGGATACATTTATTTCGATATGACGTGCAACTCTTCCGTCTTTCAGCCACCTAACATTATCGTTATCATCGCTGATGACCTTGTAAGAAATTATCATGTTTTTGTTTATATAATATGAGATAGATGTTTCATAATGTCCGTGCCTACGCTCGTATGCGGGTAGAGTGCGGTAAACTGAATAGAAAAGTCCTTTACCATTTTGCCATTTTTGCAATAATAATTGAGATATTAATTAAAAAGGATTAACGAATAATCGTGCGTTGCACGCGGCTAGACCATGGGCTGTACACTCTAGGCGTGACAGCAACGAGGATCGCACGGAAACAAAAAATAATAACACGTATTATTCCCGTTCTCGGTATGCATTGTTATTTTTCGTTGCCGTGTGATCCTCGTTGCTTTCACGCTTAGAATGTACAGCCTATGGTCTAGCCACGCGTTACGCGTGATTATTCGTTGGCACGAATATTAAAAAACACCTTGTATATGGAAGTAATAGTGGTCAATTAAAGGGATTGAAAAAACGTTGCATGTTACGAATTAAAAATTTTTTTTCAGGAAAAACATTGAATATGATTATATGAAAGTGATCATATTTATTTAACTCTTATTTTACTTAAAATATGATATAACAGCGTTTCACAGTTTAAATGTTACTTTTTTTTTTTGTGAAAGAACATTGAACACTATACAGTACTGATATCTGAGATATGGCTGGTAGCGGATAAGAAAAACGTTGTACGTAAAGTAAAATATTGTGAATAGCTCTTAAATATAAACGTGTGTAGTATTCTTAATTTTCTGTAAAAATTATAAAATGTAACATACAAACATACAATGTTTTTCCAGCCACCCCTTCAATTATATAAAACAAAAATTCCCATGTGAAACCATATGTAACATATAGTGATTTTAAATTTATTTAGTATATGTATAAAAGTATATGTATATGCATGATTTTATTAATTATTTGTTTTGCTAACTAAGGGATGGAATGATGTTAGTTTTCATGGTTCCGATGAAATTCGTACACCGAATATAGATGCTCTCGCGTATAATGGTGTGATATTGAATCGACATTACGTATTGCCAATATGCACACCGTCGAGAACAGCTTTCCTCACCGGGCGATATCCTATAAGATCAGGTAATCTATTAATTGCACAGTTGTTTTATTTTACAATGTAATATATAGTTACCGCAATAGTTTTCGAATACTCGACTTGTATAAATTTCCGAGAACATTATCCACGCTTTGTCAATACATATCCTTCAATAAAAATATTGCAAATAATTTTAATTTGTGAAATTATTAAAAATAATATGATAAAAAATATGTTAATAGGACGTGACTAGTTTTCGAAAGCCTATAATATTTTTATGTACATTTTTCTTAATTTGCAGTTTATATTTTTAACGATCTTTAATTATAATGGTAATTTTATATTACAATGTGTAATGCTTTAAAGCTGCTTACAAAAACAAACTACAATTTCACGTTAAATTATTTATATATAGGTATGCAAGGCTTTCCTTTGCGAGGAGCTGAACCACGCGGTATACCTTTAAACACTACCCTCCTACCAGAATATCTTCGAAGACTTGGATATGCCACTTATCTTGTAGGAAAATGGCATGTCGGTTATCATACGAGAAATTATGGACCTACTCGTCGCGGTTTTGATTCTTTTTTTGGATATTTTAGCGGACTTATCCAATATTTTAACCATACACTTTACGAAAGTGTAAGTTTAATAATTATTCGAAAAATAAAGATATTATAAAACAATATTATGTTAATAATACGGAAAATCAATGTATTTTTTTTCTTTTTTCTTATATTTATTATACTGCAATATAATTAAAAAAATTTTGAAATCACTCGTTAAAACTAGTGGAGAAATTCGCTTTACAAAAATGTAAGTTTTACAATTATCAGATTTGTCATCAAGCCATCTTCAGGCCATCTGTAAGTTTTATATCATTACTTATTTGAAAAATAAAACGAAATATTGTGAAATAATATTATAATAATAATATAGAATGGCAATATATTTTTCTCATATTATTACTGCAGTATAATTAAAAAATTAGGATTAATGAAAAAATTCGTGATTAATATATTACGAGTATAACTAGCTTCCGCAATTATAAATACATAACTTTGGATAAATTGCAAGATTTTTTATAGAAACAATTCGGATATGATTTGCATCGCATCGTGGATGACAATCACACAATTGAATACAGATATGAATATATGACCGATATTATAACCAATGAAGCCAAAGATATTATTTTGTCGCATAATTCTAAGAAGCCTTTATATCTGCAACTGGCACATCTTGCACCTCATTCTACCGATGCTAAAGATATTGTGGAAGTACGCAATTGGGAGGAAACAAATGGCACTTTTGGTTACATTAAAGATATAAACAGAAGAAAGTTTGCAAGTATGTATGGAAAAAAATTTAAATCAATACCGTAATAAATGCGGTTGATTTTACTTAATTAACAAAGCTAACAAGAAAATCGCAAACCCGGAAATTCTAATTCTAATCAAACTTTATACGTGTAGGGGGGATAAGTACATAAAAACAAAAATTTTTAATTGGTGCCAAAAACGATTTTAAGGGGTAAAATCACTCCTCAAAGATTCAAAGGCTTTTAGCTTTTTTTAAATATATCTCTTAAATTATTTGAGATATCAAAAAAATATGTTAAAAAATATATTAAATATATATTTTTTAACACGTTATAACATAACAGAAAAATATTTTTAGTCTAAATATATTCGTTTATATACAATTACAATTATTAAAAAACTTTTCTATGGATAGCGAACAGAGTATGCATCAAGAAACATAATTCCTCGCGTCAATCTGTTCTACAGATTACCGCGATTGATAAAAGCTTCCATGCTATGTATTTTAAAAATATTTTCTGTAATGTAAAGACCATTATTACACATATTAATAATACAAAAAAAAACGTTTATTATAATTATCAAAGCTAAACTTGTACTATATTCATACTTATGGTATTTTTATATTTCATAATGTTTACAATCGTTATATTCCTCAAAAAAGAGATATACAAAAATATTGTTTGCATCAAGAACAAGATATTATAGCTAGCGTATCGCGTATGGATAGCGTGGTATTTCTTGTATATAAATACATAAAGTACGTCAAAATAGTCCTTTTTTGCAACTTTGACCTTGAATTCTCAAAACGGTGTATGATAGAGCATTTTTAAAACCGGCATTGTATTCGATATCAAAATTTAATTTACATTTGAGAAATAACATCATTAAATTATTACTGACTTATATACAATGATCTTTTCCTCGATTCACCGATATTTTTAAATACACCTAGTTCAAAAATGGACGTATCTAAGAATGGCCGACACATTTTGAAAATCCAATAGACTTCTGTTTTTCTGGAAAAGATATACAAATTCTATATACGGTGAGTTAGGTATAATACGTTGTTCTTAGTGCACACAAACAATATTTTTGTATGCAACACTTTTTTGAGGATTATGATAATTGTAAACATGAAATATAATAATAATAAGTATGAATATAGTAAGATTTTAGATTTAAATTTTAGATATTAGATAATTATAAACATTTTTATATTGCTGGTATAATGATCTTTATACATTACAGGAAATGCTCTCAAAATACATAGTATGGAAGCTCATATAGATATCACGGTGTAAGCTGTAGAACAGATTGGCGTGGAGCACTATCATGTCTCTTGATGCATACTTTGTTCGCTACTCATAAAAAGTTTTTTTTTTAATGATTGTAATTGTATGTAAATGAGTATATTTTGACTAAAAATAATTTTCTGTTATGTTATAACGCAAAAGATATTCTTCCATATAACAGTAAAGGGCAAAATTAAAAAAATTATTTTTAAAAATGTTATTAATCTCCATAAATAGAGGTATTTCAACTATAAAACTTTTATATAATACATTTTGTAATATCTCAAAAAGTTTAAGAGATATATTAAGAAAAATCAAAAGTCTCTGAATCTTTGAAAGACGTTTTTACCCCTTAAAATCGTTCTTTGGCATCAAAATTTGACACCAATTTGAAAATTTTTTTATTTATTCTATTTTTTTATTTATTTTACATGTGTGTTCTATTAAAATAAAAATTTCCGGGTTTGCGCAGTTCCTTATAAGTGAGAGGTAGTAATAAATAGAAAGTAAGTAATGTGGTAATCATGACTTTCTAACACGTTTAATAACACGGAAGAACGAAGTAGTTATTTCGTTACTTTTACTAAAAGTGTTAAAATCCAAATTTTGAAATATAGTAGTCATACTCTATGCTTATTTAATCGTAATTTTAAAATTATTTTTAACATCTCGAATCCGACAAATTATTTTTATCTCTTTAGTTACTCTAATTCTTGTAATTTTCAAAACATACATACTGTATGAAAAAAAAAATTTTATTTTAATATATCAATAATATCATATAGCGTTTTCGATTGAACGGATTTAGATCGATCTGGGATTTCTACGATTTATGACGTTATTGAATTGTCTCTGTTAATAAAGGACTCGAATTCATATTAAAATAGATCTCTCGATTGTAAATAAATTTTTGTCTTTAGGTGCTGTCGCCACGTTGGATGAATCGATTGGTCAAGTGATGGATGCTCTGAAAAGAGCAGATATGTTGAAAAACTCGATCATCCTTTTTATAGCCGACAACGGGGCACAGACTGAAGGACTCTGGCAAAATTATGGATCCAATTATCCATTACGTGGGGTAAGTACAGTTACAACACGTATAAATATAATATATTTTAAGACTATTTGCTTGATTTATGCTTGTACATACCATAATTTTGGCTTAATATTGCTAAACTTATGAAAATAGAATCAGATAATATATTATATTGAATTACTGGAGGAGAGAGAAAGAGAGTGGGGAAGGGGGAGGAGGGAGAGAGGGGAGGAAAGAGGGAGGGGATAAAATAAAATTATACAGAATTGTATAAATTGTACAATGTGTCTAAAATTATAACAGATAACACACAATATTGTGTGAATATTCAATGTTGCATCAAATATATTTTTACGGGAATATTCTCGAAGAAATCATTTATATATGTCTGTAGAATATCCTTGTTTATAAAGAATATTCTATAAACCTGTCCAGAATATGTTAAAATCAACAGTAGGAACATATTCCATAAATGTTCACTGAATATTCAAATGTACTGAAGATTCCCTGATAGCCACCTGTCTGTGTTGTTGCTGCCACGTTGCCGAAAACAAAGGGCATTAGTTTTCAGCAAATTTAGAACAAGGTGTGTGAGTCATTTGCCTCTGGTATGATATCACATGAATTCAGCATGTGTTGCTGTCAAGTTGCTATGTGTTTGCTGTCAATGGTTTATCGCTGTACATAAAGAGCAAAATGACAGCAAGTTGCCAACAACACATGCCGAGTCATAAATTTTAGCAAAAATTCAACAGCGTGTCGAAAACGGTTAAATATATTTTTTGCATCCTTACTCTTTTCAAACATATAAAATAATAAGTAAATAAATCCTTCTTTTTGTTATCACTAGAAAGAAAAATTTACTTATTTATTATTTTACATATCTATTATATATATATACCTTGCCGCAAATATCTAT